AATTCTGTCACATTACCCATGTCATGGCCACTCCCTGTTTTTGACGATGTTGTTGATCACATCGGCGATGGCCAAGCTACAATGTTCTCCACCTTAGATCTTGCCAATGGCTTCTTCCAAGTGCCATTACACGAAGACTCAAAGCATAAAACTGCTTTTGTCACCCATCAAGGCCTTTATCAATTCTAACGTTTGCCCAAGGGCTTATCTAATTCCCCACTTTGTTTTCGCAACTGATGAGCAAAGTGCTAAGAAAATTGCTTTTTAAAGTTGCGCTGATTTACATTGATGATTTAATAATCTACAGCAAAAACTTTGAAGAACATCTCCAACATTTAGAGCAAGTCTTCTACTATCTCAAACAGGCAAAATTAACACTGAAGCCATCAAAATGCAATTTTGCAACAGACAAGGTTTCATTTCTGGGTCATGTTTTATCATGTGGAGGTGTTCAAGTTGATGACAAAAAGGTCGAAGCAATTAAAACCTTCCCAATACCTAAATCACAAAAACAGGTTCACTCATTTTTAGGCCTCACAAACTTTTACAGAAAGTATGTGAAAGATTATGCGAAAATAGCACTGCCATTGAATGCATTGTTAAAAAAGCATTCAGAGGCAAAAACAGAAATTAAACAACTCATTAGATCAAACATAACCGAAACAAACTTCCAACACAACATAAACACCAACAAATCAACATGGGTTAAAAACATCATCAAAACACCTATTAAGAAAATTCTCTAACATTAAAAACATTGACACATGCATAACCTGACTAATTACAGGCATTACAAATCTCAACTCCCCACTTTGCAAACAAAATAGACACCCAGATGGACTATGCACCCACTGCAACACACCAGAGGGCATTAACCACATATTTACACAATGCCACCTACAACAAACAAACATTAGGCAACTACACAGCTCCATACCTCCAAAATACCATAACAATATTCATCTCCTACTCAATCCGCATAATCCCCCCCAGCATATTCAAAGCCCTAGCGACTTTCATTCAAAATTCTAACATTATGCATAAAATTTAGACCCTCCTAAACAAATTACCAAACTTGTTTTAAATTTACTCTTAACACCTATATTTAGAAAAGGGATCCAAATTCACATTTCCCAGCGCGGCCGTCTTCTCCGACGTCCGCGCGCCCGTTCCTCTCATTTCGATCCGGTCTCCCACACATAGCAAGCACGCTCAACCCTCTCCGCTCACAGCCAACACTGCAACGGTAAACATTACATAACACCCCTTCCTCCCATCCACTCAAACCAGTCTACTACCGCCACAACCCATACCTAAACCAATATATACAAGCAACTTTTCTACCGTCCACCTCTCCCCATATCCAAACCTTATTCATCTGCCACACCTCTAACTCAACTAGGCATCAATCGCCCGTTACCCACCATATACAGCCTCTCTCGGCGTCACTTACCGCCTTCTTTGCTCCTAACCCCTCACTCCCCACCCCCGTTACAAACCCGTTTTTCTTTCTTTATTAGGTCCCTTATTGCTAACAGTACAGCTTAACTGCACTATTACAAATTAAACCCCAATATGCTGTACAATTACTCTCTACCCACCCACCCCACCCCCCTCATCCCCACCCCCTCATCCCCACCCCAACTTTATCTACTATATAGTCATTTCAACTCTTCTTATTTTTTGACAACGGCTTTATTTTTCTCTCTCTGTATAATTTCGGCTTTTATTTTTATTTAGATTATATTTATAACTGTTTTATTTTAAATTCAGTTAAGTTTAATCCCCCAAAATTTACATTTTTTGGGTATGGTGGTTTATTCCTATTAACACATATTAATTAATTTATTTCAAACCCCACCTACCCCGTCGGCGACATTGGCTATGCTAAAAGCCGACGTTAAACCATTAATTTCGTTCGTTGCAACTTCACCATACATCATGGAAGTGGTACGGAACAACAAGGGTGGTTCGAAGTTGCTATATCAGGGTTATTCGTACATAAAGAAGAAAGAGAGCAAGTCAACAATTAGGTGGGAGTGTTCCCAACGGAAACCGCTGTCTTGCAAGGGTTCACTGACGACAGACATGGAAGTGAAGAATAAAGTACGGAAATGTGAAAATGTGCAATTGTCATATTTATATATGCAAAAATGTGCTTACATATGTATTTTGGTTGTTTTTGTTATCGATTATGAAAGACTGATATGAATAAAATTCATTTCTGTGACTAATCATGTCATTAGTTGTTTTTTTCTTAAGGTGGAATTTGTGTAATTGGGTCTTCACACTCTTTACTTAAATATAAACAGAAATCTGCCAGAAATGTCTTATTCCTGTTTAAGCCTAACACACCCAAACCATGTTATGTTCTAATTTGTAATCTCAACTGAACATAAAACATTTATAAATAATCACACAACTCTGTATTTGGGTACGTTCACCTCAGCCTGATGGGGCTGCAAATTTATTGAGTAACATTGAATTTGAAGTTTAAAAAGAGCACCTACAGTTGGAACCCATCCGAATGGCTCCTCAGAGTGCTGTATTATGTCCTCTGGTTTCCAGGGCCTAGATTTTCCAAGCTCTCTTAGTGCTAAGATAGTCTTAAAGGTCACATGCATCCAAAAAATCAAACATTATTAAAACACAATTATCACTTATTCATGACATATAATATACATTGCTGGTTATGAAAAAAACATATAAACAAAAACATTATAAGCCTACAATCGCAAATCAAAAGTGCAATATTGTGTACTTGGGTTTACTTCCCAAGAAACGAAGCAGCCGGAATGCCGGGATCCCGGGAGCGGGTGGGTGTGCACTCAAGTGTAACGGCTGGTTCATTTGCAGATGCCCTCACGGCTCATTGTGTGTGTATATATAGAGATGTTGGGTTTTGTAAATACATGATAATTTTTTGTGTATAACATTTTTCAATCAACAGACATCATAACATGTGATGTGTTCAAGTATCACACCTGCCTGTCTGTGTAATTACATAATGTGACAGAGACCGAACTCGAGCCATGAATCAATGCATTTTGTTTATGGTGTATAGCCTGATTGGTGTTAAGTTCAAATTGCATGTGGTCAGTGATTGCAGTTGTGTATTGAATATTGTCATTAGCAGACAGGCAGGCAGACACACAGGTGTCAATAAAACAAGACATTGAGTTTTGTCTGTGACAACGACATATTTATATCACAGTTAGAAATTCTGTCAACGCTAAATAATGACATTGCTTTTAAGTATCGAACTGAGAAAGTGACTCGGTAAGGAGAACGTGTGGTGAAATAGACAAATGAAATTATATAAACAGTTAATTTACTGTCATAACATATAAAAAGCTCGCGCCTGTGAGATATCAACAAAACATTAGAAAAATAGCTCACACCAAAGCCTTCACCGAGTATTCACCGGACAACCCGCTTCCAAGTTGTGCGAACCTATTTCACTGCGCACGTGCTATGAGCGCAACCCAGCTGTTGAAACTACTTGAATTCCCCCCAAACGCTGTGGGAAAACTAGTGAATCGTTTGAACTACGATTTCGCACGCTTTTTTTATCGCGTTATTTTTCAACTTTATAAGTTGAATTTGCATTTTTGATGATTTGTTTCGGTAAGTCCATACGGAAAGGTATCAGAATCTGCAAAGGTGTGTTTTACGTTGCCTGTGACCTTAAAGTTAATGTTAATGTATGGCACTACGACTATCTTAGCGCTAAGAGAGCTTCGAAAATCTAGGCCCTGATCTGTCATGTAGCAAGTTCAGACTGGAATTCCTGGTAGCCTAAAAAAAATTAATAACTTTTTGAATACATTGTAAAATTTCCGACATTCATGCTAAATTATTGTAGTGCCTTGCATTTTGAATCACAAATCATCCTTAACTGTATTTACCTTTTTTTTGTAACAAAGCTAGCTTTTGTGAATCTTAAGATGTGTCCAGTGACCAAGTACATGGGAGGTCCAGTGACCTAGTACATGGGAGGTCCAGTGTCCTAGTACATGGGAGGTCCAGTGTCCTAGTACATGGGAGATCCAGTGTCCTAGTCCATGGGAGGTCCAGTGTCCTAATACATGGGAGGTCCAGTGACCAAGTACATGGAACGTCCAGTGACATAGTACATGGGAGGTCCAGTGTCCTAGTACATGGGAGGTCCAGTGTCCAAGTACATGGGAGGTCCAGTGACAAATACATGGGAGGTCTAGTGACCAGTAAATGGGAGGTCCAGTGACCAGTAAATTGGAGGTGCAGTGACCAAGTACATGGGATGTCCAGTGTCCTAGTACATGTGAGGTCGAGTGTCCTAGTACATTGGAGGTCCAGTGTCCTAGTACATTGGAGGTCCAGTGTCCTAGTACATGGGAGGTCCAGTGTCCTAGTACATGGGAGGTCCAGTGACCAGTAAATGGGAGGTCCAGTGACCAAATACATGGGGGGTCCAGTGACCAAGTACATGGGGGGTCCAGTGTCCTAGTACATGGGCGGTCCAGTGTCCTAGCACATGGGAGGCCCAGTGTCCTAGTACATGGGAGGTCTAGTGACAATGTACATGGGAGGTCGAGTGACAATGTCCATGGGAGGTCCAGTGACCAGTAAATGGGAGGTCCAGTGACCTAGTACATGGGAGGTCCAGTGACCTTGTACATGGGAGGTCCAGTGACCAGTAAATGGGAGGTCCAGTGTCCTAGTACATGAGAGGTCCAGTGTCCTAGTCATGGGAGGTCCAGTGTCCTAGTACATGGGAGGTCCAGTGTCCTAGTACATGGAAGTCCAGTGACAATGTACATGTAAGGTCCAGTGTCCTAGTACATGTGAGGTCCAGTGTCCTAGTACATGGGAGGTCCAGTGTCCTAGTACATGGGAGGTCCAGTGACCTAGTACATGGAAGTCCAGTGTCTTAGTACATGGGAGGTCCAGTGTCCTAGTACATGGGATGTCCAGTGTCCTAGTACATGGAAGTCCAGTGTCTTCGTACATGGGAGGTCCAGTGGCCAGTAAATGGGAGGTCCAGTGACCAAGTACATGGGAGGTCCAGTGACCTAGTACATGGGAGGTCCAGTGTCCTAGTACATGGGAGGTCCAGTGACCTAGTACATGGAAGTCCAGTGTCTTAGTACATGGGAGGTCCAGTGTCCTAGTACATGGGAGGTCCAGTGTCCTAGTACATGGAAGTCCAGTGTCTTAGTACATGGGAGGTCCAGTGACCAGTAAATGGGAGGTCCAGTGACCAAGTACATGGGAGGTCCAGTGTCCTAATACATGGGAGGTCCAGGGACCAAGTACATGGGACGTCCAGTGACATAGTACATGGGAGGTCCAGTGTCCTAGTACATGGGAGGTCCAGTGACAATGTACATGGGAGGTCCAGTGACCAGTAAAAAGGAGGTCCAGTGACCTAGTACATGGGAGGTCCAGTGTCCTTGTACATAGGAGGTCCAGTGACCAGTAAATGGGAGGTCCAGTGTCCTAGTACACGGCAGGTCCAGTGTCCTAGTACATGGGAGGTCCAGTGTCCTAGTACATGGGAGGTCCAGTGTCCTAGTACATGGGAGGTCCAGTGTCCTAGTACATTGAAGTCCAGTGTCCTAGTACATGTTAGGTCCAGTGTCCTAGTACATGTGAGGTCCAGTGATCAGTAAATGGGAGGTCCAGTGACCAAGAACATGGGAGGTCCAGTGTCCTAGTACATGGGAGGTCCAGTGACAATGTACATGGGGGGTCCAGTGAGTTGAGTTGAGTTGGGCTTTACGTCACATCAGCATTATTCCAGCCATATAGTGACAAGAACAAGGTCCAGTGTCCTAGTACATGGAAGTCTAGTGACAATGTACAAAGGGGGTCCAGTGTCCTAGTACATGGAAGTCTAGTGACAATGTACATAGGGGGTCCAGTGTCCCAGTACATGGAAGTCTAGTGACAATGTACATAGGGGTCCAGTGTCCTAGTACATGGAAGTCTAGTGACAATGTACATAGGGGGTCCAGTGTCCTAGTACATGGAAGTCTAGTGACAATGTACATAGGGGGTCCAGTGTCCTAGTACATGGAAGTCTAGTGACAATGTACATAGGGGGTCCAGTGTCCTAGTACATGGAAGTCCAGTGTCTTAGTGCATGGGAGATCCAGTGTCCTAGTACATGGGATGTCCAGTGTCCTAGTACATGGAAGTCCAGTGTCTTCGTACATGGGAGGTCCAGTGGCCAGTTAATGGGAGGTCCAGTGACCAAGTACATGGGAGGTCCAGTGACCTAGTACATGGGAGGTCCAGTGTCCTAGTACATGGGAGGTCCAGTGACCTAGTACATGGAAGTCCAGTGTCTTAGTACATGGGAGGTCCAGTGTCCTAGTACATGGGAGGTCCAGTGGCCAGTAAATGGAAGTCCAGTGTCTTAGTACATGGGAGGTCCAGTGACCAGTAAATGGGAGGTCCAGTGACCAAGTACATGGGAGGTCCAGTGTCCTAATACATGGGAGGTCCAGGGACCAAGTACATGGGACGTCCAGTGACATAGTACATGGGAGGTCCAGTGTCCTAGTACATGGGAGGTCCAGTGACAATGTACATGGGAGGTCCAGTGACCAGTAAAAAGGAGGTCCAGTGACCTAGTACATGGGAGGTCCAGTGTCCTTGTACATAGGAGGTCCAGTGACCAGTAAATGGGAGGTCCAGTGTCCTAGTACACGGCAGGTCCAGTGTCCTAGTACATGGGAGGTCCAGTGTCCTAGTACATGGGAGGTCCAGTGTCCTAGTACATGGGAGGTCCAGTGTCCTAGTACATGGGAGGTCCAGTGTCCTAGTACATGTGAGGTCCAGTGTCCTAGTACATGTGAGGTCCAGTGATCAGTAAATGGGAGGTCCAGTGACCAAGAACATGGGAGGTCCAGTGTCCTAGTACATGGGAGGTCCAGTGACAATGTACATGGGGGGTCCAGTGAGTTGAGTTGAGTTGGGCTTTACGTCACATCAGCATTATTCCAGCCATATAGTGACAAGAACAAGGTCCAGTGTCCTAGTACATGGAAGTCCAGTGACAATGTACATGGGGGGTCCAGTGTCCTAGTACATGGAAGTCTAGTGACAATGTACATAGGGGGTCCAGTGTCCCAGTACATGGAAGTCTAGTGACAATGTACATAGGGGGTCCAGTGTCCTAGTACATGGAAGTCTAGTGACAATGTACATAGGGGGTCCAGTGTCCTAGTACATGGAAGTCTAGTGACAATGTACATAGGGGGTCCAGTGTCCTAGTACATGGAAGTCTAATGACAATGTACATAGGGGGTCCAGTGTCCTAGTACATGGAAGTCCAGTGTCTTAGTGCATGGGAGGTCCAGTGTCCTAGTACATGGGATGTCCAGTGTCTTAGTACATGGAAGTCCAGTGTCTTCGTACATGGGAGGTCCAGTGGCCAGTAAATGGGAGGTCCAGTGACCAAGTACATGGGAGGTCCAGTGACCTAGTACATGGGAGGTCCAGTGTCCTAGTACATGGGAGGTCCAGTGACCTAGTACATGGAAGTCCAGTGTCTTAGTACATGGGAGGTCCAGTGTCCTAGTACATGGGAGGTCCAGTGTCCTAGTACATGGAAGTCCAGTGTCTTAGTACATGGGAGGTCCAGTGACCAGTAAATGGGAGGTCCAGTGACCAAGTACATGGGAGGTCCAGTGTCCTAATACATGGGAGGTCCAGGGACCAAGTACATGGGACGTCCAGTGACAATGTACATGGGAGGTCCAGTGACCAGTAAAAAGGAGGTCCAGTGACCTAGTACATGGGAGGTCCAGTGTCCTTGTACATAGGAGTTCCAGTGACCAGTAAATGGGAGGTCCAGTGTCCTAGTACACGGCAGGTCCAGTGTCCTAGTACATGGGAGGTCCAGTGTCCTAGTACATGGGAGGTCCAGTGTCCTAGTACATGGGAGGTCCAGTGTCCTAGTACATTGAAGTCCAGTGTCCTAGTACATGTTAGGTCCAGTGTCCTAGTACATGTGAGGTCCAGTGATCAGTAAATGGGAGGTCCAGTGACCAAGAACATGGGAGGTCCAGTGTCCTAGTACATGGGAGGTCCAGTGACAATGTACATGGGGGGTCCAGTGAGTTGAGTTGAGTTGGGCTTTACGTCACATCAGCATTATTCCAGCCATATAGTGACAAGAACAAGGTCCAGTGTCCTAGTACATGGAAGTCTAGTGACAATGTACATAGGGGGTCCAGTGTCCTAGTACATGGAAGTCTAGTGACAATGTACATAGGGGGTCCAGTGTCCTAGTACATGGAAGTCTAGTGACAATGTACATAGGGGGTCCAGTGTCCTAGTACATGGAAGTCTAGTGACAATGTACATAGGGGGTCCAGTGTCCTAGTACATGGAAGTCTAGTGACAATGTACATAGGGGGTCCAGTGTCCTAGTACATGGAAGTCTAGTGACAATGTACATAGGGGGTCCAGTGTCCTAGTACATGGAAGTCCAGTGTCTTAGGAAGTCCATGGGGAGGTCCAGTGTCCTAGTACATGGGATGTCCAGTGTCCTAGTACATGGAAGTCCAGTGTCTTCGTACATGGGAGGTCCAGTGGCCAGTAAATGGGAGGTCCAGTGACCAAGTACATGGGAGGTCCAGTGACCTAGTACATGGGAGGTCCAGTGTCCTAGTACATGGGAGGTCCAGTGACCTAGTACATGGGAAGTCCAGTGTCTTAGTACATTGGAGGTCCAGTGTCCTAGTACATGGGAGGTCCAGTGTCCTAGTACATGGAAGTCCAGTGTCTTAGTACATGGGAGGTCCAGTGACCAGTAAATGGGAGGTCCAGTGACCAAGTACATGGGAGGTCCAGTGTCCTAATACATGGGAGGTCCAGGGACCAAGTACATGGGACGTCCAGTGACATAGTACATGGGAGGTCCAGTGTCCTAGTACATGGGAGGTCCAGTGACAATGTACATGGGAGGTCCAGTGACCAGTAAAAAGGAGGTCCAGTGACCTAGTACATGGGAGGTCCAGTGTCCTTGTACATAGGAGGTCCAGTGACCAGTAAATGGGAGGTCCAGTGTCCTAGTACACGGCAGGTCCAGTGTCCTAGTACATGGGAGGTCCAGTGTCCTAGTACATGGGAGGTCCAGTGTCCTAGTACATGGGAGGTCCAGTGTCCTAGTACATTGAAGTCCAGTGTCCTAGTACATGTTAGGTCCAGTGTCCTAGTACATGTGAGGTCCAGTGATCAGTAAATGGGAGGTCCAGTGACCAAGAACATGGGAGGTCCAGTGTCCTAGTACATGGGAGGTCCAGTGACAATGTACATGGGGGGTCCAGTGAGTTGAGTTGAGTTAGGCTTTACGTCACATCAGCATTATTCCAGCCATATAGTGACAAGAACAAGGTCCAGTGTCCTAGTACATGGAAGTCTAGTGACAATGTACATAGGGGGTCCAGTGTCCTAGTACATGGAAGTCTAGTGACAATGTACATAGGGGGTCCAGTGTCCTAGTACATGGGAGTCTAGTGACAATGTACATAGGGGGTCCAGTGTCCTAGTACATGGAAGTCCAGTGTCTTAGTACATGGGAAGTCCAGTGTCCTAGTACATGGAAGTCTAGTGACAATGTACATAGGGGGTCCAGTGTCCTAGTACATGGAAGTGTAGTGACAATGTACATAGGGGGTCCAGTGTCCTAGTACATGGAAGTCTAGTGACAATGTACATAGGAGGTCCAGTGTCCCAGTACATGGAAGTCTAGAGACAATGTACATAGGAGGTCCAGTGTCCCAGTACATGGAAGTCCAGTGACAATGTACATAGGAGGTCCAGTGTCCCAGTACATGGAAGTCCAGTGACAATGTACATAGGAGGTCCAGTGTCCCAGTACATGGAAGTCCAGTGACAATGTACATAGGAGGTCCAGTGTCCCAGTACATGGAAGTCTAGAGACAATGTACATAGGAGGTCCAGTGTCCCAGTACATGGAAGTCCAGTGACAATGTACATAGGAGGTCCAGTGTCCTGTGTCCAGTACATGGAAGTCCAGTGTTCTAGTACATGGGGGGTCCAGTGACCAGTAAATGGGAGGTCCAGTGACCAAGAACATGGGAGGTCCAGTGTCCTAGTACATGGGAGGTCCAGTGACCTAGTACATGGAAGTCTAGTGACAATGTACATAGGAGGTCCAGTGTCCCAGTACATGGAAGTCCAGTGACAATGTACATTGGAGGTCCAGTGACCTAGTACATGGAAGTCTAGTGACAATGTACATAGGGGGTCCAGTGTCCCAGTACATGGAAGTCTAGTGACAATGTACATATAGGAGGTTCAGTGTCCTAGTACATGGAAGTCCAGTGACAATGTACATTGGAGGTCCAGTGTCATAGTACATGTGAGGTCCAGTGTTCTAGTACATGGGGGGTCCAGTGACCAGTAAATGGGAGGTCCAGTGACCAAGAACATGGGAGGTCCAGTGTCCTAGTACATGGGAGGTCCAGTGACCTAGTACATGGGAGGTCCAGTGTCCTAGTACATGGGAGGTCCAGTGTCCTAGTACATGGGAAGTCCAGTGACAATGTACATGTAAGGTCCAGTGTCCTAGTACATGTGAGGTCCAGTGTCCTAGTACATAGGAGGTCCAGTGACCAGTAAATGGGAGGTCCAGTGACCAAGAACATGGGAGGTCCAGTGTCCTAGTACATGGGCGGTCCAGTGTGCTAGTACATGGGAGGTCCAGTGTCCTAGTACATGGGAGGTCCAGTGACAATGTACATGGGAGGTCCAGTGAGTTGAGTTGAGTTGGGCTTTACGTCACATCAGCATTATTCCAGCCATATAGTGACGAGAACAAGGTCCAGTGTCTTAGTAAATGGAAGTCTAGTGACAATGTACATAGGAGGTCCAGTGTCCTAGTACATCGAAGTCTAGTGACAATGTACATGGGAGGTCCAGTGTCCTAGTACATGGAAGTCCAGTGACAATGTACATAGGAGGTCCAGTGTCCTAGTACACAGGCTCACATTCATCTGTACTGAATAATCTCGAACCCCAATACACAACCACTTGGTAGTAAATATATTTATGTTCTAATTCGTAAACTCAACTGAACATAAAATATTTGCAAATAATCACACAATTTTATATTTGGGTACGTTTACGTCAGCCTCAAGAACTAAGAGAGCGGGCAAAGAAAAACATAATACAAATCTTGTTCATCAATCATTTATTACAGGTAACAGGAGATCACAAACATTCAAACTCTAAATTCACATTTTTTTCGACACACTGAGTCTATACACAGATGGGGTGTGGCCTCCTTTACTTGTCAAAATAAAATAGAATTTTGACTGACATGGATTTTGTAAGCCTGCTAAATTATGTGCCCAGCCTATGGCATAAATCGACTGCTGAATAGATGCAGGATTCTTACCATTCTGCTTCAGAGATAACACGTAAAATGCTATAAGAAATTCAGAAGCCGACATGACCGATACCAAATTGTTAACACCAATCCTTAAAATTCATAAATCAACTTTCATACTGTTTTACAAAAGTCTTCGCTCTAGAGTCTAACACAAATTCGAGTAACTTTTCAGCTAAACTAATCAATGTTGGATCTTTAAGCCCCTGCTTCTCCTTCCAAACAACGAGTGAAAACTCATCTGAAGGAGATTACAAAAAACAAATCATCTGACAGTCCAACTTGATTTTTGTAGACTCAGTCCAAATCGTTTCCGTGGAAATCATCAAAAACTAAATGCCAAAAATCTGCAAATAGCAAAAGGCACCACTTAAGGCTCTGTTTCATATATCTGCCATGTCTTGTTGAAAGATATTTAACGGTCGAGTTGTGCTCCAGAAACAAAATCATTACAGACGGACGGACAGACGGAAGGACAAACAAGGCGTCGACTATATCCCCCACATTACATCCCGGGGGGATAATAAACGTTGACAATTGTTTACCTTCCTGAAATGAAAATGAGCACAGATATTGTTTACAGGATGTACACTTTACTAAAGATATGGAACAATGTATTTGAGAAGAATGGGACGGTCTGACCATGTGCTGTAGGATAAGTTGAATACAAAATTCCTGGCCCCTGACCACCTGACCTCTGCCCCCACTCCGATAGCAGTACCTGTCAATCATCTCAATAAGGGTGCAAATCGCTCAGATGATCACGTGACGCTCTGTGCCTGTCATTCTCGTCTTGGAGCGTCCAGTAATCTGTGATGTGGGGCAGGTCGGGTGGGTATCCATCGCGTATATAGGATAAGTATATCAATATACAATTTATAGTAAAATTTCCAAATTTTTAAACATATAAAAATAATTGCTCAGAGAGTAGAGGTCAGTAAGCAGAGTGTCGACCACCTCTTCATGTAGCACAAGACTGGCCTCTCAGTCTATCGAGTCATATCTATGACAGTGCAAACACGCCCTAGTCCCCTAGGTAAAGTGGTCTATGCCCAAATATAATCCATACCAATAAGAAAGATAGGACCGATATCTTTCATGATATAGAGAATGCAAAACCTACACGAAGGTAGGAACTGCATCTTAACTGTGTTTGCAAGCCGACAACAACTGCTGCGCCAGAACAAATGGACCCAGTTGGTGAAGACCTTCCACGTCAGTGTCAGACAGATCCCAGAGGTAGAGTAAGACGAAGACCATGTCCAATCTCCAAAAACAACCCTCCTTGATGCCTTGAAGGGAACAGTTCTATGTAGCGCCATTGTAGAGGTCAAGGCTCTTGACTCATGAGGGTTGGCCGTAGTCTCTTGCGTAACCTACGATTGTCCTTGGAAGCAGCTAAAAACCCGTAAAGTCCGGACAGGACATAGGGAGAGATCCTCAGTGTCGTCAGGGCCCGGAATGTTAGACAGTGGCGGGAAGGCGAATAGTCTGGCTGGCTGTCCAGGCAGCTGGTTTCAGCGACGATATCCCACCTCAAACCAGGGAAGGCTTTGGCATGTCTGGTCCTCTCGAAGCGCAACCAGGTGACATCCAGTGTGGGAAGCTCGGAGATGCAGGCAACAGTTGCAAGAGCCAGGAGGAAGAAAGTCTTAAACGTGACATGCTTGAAAATCCTTCATACTCCTCTGACGTGAGATAATTAGAAACCACGGAAAGGTCCCAGGCTGGTGGCCGGAACTTCCGGGATTGATCAGCAACTTTGTAAGATCTGAGGAGAGACTGGAGATCAGGGACAGTTGACACCTTCGCACCCGTAGCCGGTGCAATAACTGTGTTATGCATGGCCAGGTATGTAGACAAGGAAGAACCCTTCAATTCCTTGGAAGTTCTAGGATGCTGGATGTACTCCGCGACCATCTGAGGCGATGCTGTAGTGGGAGATATGATACCAATCGTCTTGCAGTACGCTTCAAAACTCTTCCATAGTCATCACAGAGTGGCCTGGTAGAAGTTCGGCGACTCGCTTGGAATATCCCTTTGCAGTTAGCGATTCATGTAAATGCACCAGGCATGAAGATTAAGTGTGAGCGGAGACCAATGCAGCTGATCGGAGTGAAGATAAACCAGAAGATCGGCGTGATCGGGAAGTGGTACTGGAATAGGTCAGCGAAGTCTTGCAGGTCTAAGAACAATCTTCTGACAGCCCAAAAAGGTGCAACCCAAACAGTGTCATCCGCTGCGTCGTGCATAACTTGAGCAGTATGCGTGGAAGGAGCGCCACTGGTGAAAACTCATACACGTTCAAGTCATCGCTAGAGCGGGCTGTTCCCAGGCCAAAGGATCCGGGATCGGGGACACAAATATTGGAAGCTGGTGATGGAAGATGGTAGCAAACAGATCCACTGTCAGATTAAACATCGGAAGGCACAAAGTCTGGAACATGCGGATGCAGTTTCCACTCCATCAGATATGGTCGAACCGGACGGGACAAAGAATCTGCAATGACGTACTTCACCCTTGGGATGTGATAGGCCTCGACCGTGATGTTGAGAGAGTCCACTAAGTGGAAAAACTGTTGTGTCCACTGAAGACGCTGAGGAGACCCCGTGGATCCCATTTGATTAATGTGCCACACGACTGCTGCATAGTCCGATCGAATCAAAAGCAAGGTTGATTGTAACAGGTGTTGCCAGTGAGTGATCACAAGAATCACTGCCCTGAGCTCCAAAACATTGATGTGACATGCACAGTCTGCGGAAAACCGCAGCCCTGCCACCTGCTGATCGAGAAATTGAGCTCCCTACCCGTGTAGAAAGGCGTCTACGTACAGGTGATGTACTGGAGCAAACGGCTATAAAGAGACTTTGCCGCAAACATTCAACACGTCCAACCACCACTTGAGATGGGGATGGAACACTGGAGAAAGAAAGATCAATGCGCGAGGGTCGCCGATCCTGATGTGCGGACACAGAAAATATTGGAGAGACCCTAGTTGAAGCTATCCCCTCAGAGTCACAACTTGAGCTGATGTCAACAGAAAGAGGTCTTGTACCTGACGAAGAATCTTGGGTTGCGAAAAAGCGCTAGGGGTACAATAGAAACTCCAGCGCAGACATTCAGTTCGTCGAGCCACCACTGAAGGACTGGACGAAGCAGTTCTGGAAGGCGACTCAATTCCTTCCGGTTCAGTTGACGGCCTCGAGATATGGGTGTAGAAATCGCTGTATCGGCCGAAGTAGGAGATGGCTTCTGTACATTGGGGCTTGAGCTGATATCAGAAGGCCTAGCAACTACTGCCACTGAAGAAGGAATCTCTCCTGAGATAGGATACATTCGATTAGTCAAGTCAGCATGATAGTACTTAAGAAGTGCTGAATGTAGTAGGTTCGTGGCATGGAGATTGTCAGTCAATCTACAGGAACGTTCACATTGAACACATTGTGATGTATATAATCAGTGATCACAGGAACGTATGGTTTGCCAAATGAAGTGTTGGTTCACCAGATGGAGTGAAAAGCTAGTAGATGCGAGGCATGGGATCGTCAGTCTACCGGAACATTCGTAAGGTTGATGGAATGGCGGAGGTAAGAAGACCAGTGACCCCAGGAACGTCCGTAAGGGAAACGAAGGTAGTAAAATCGATGCTTGCAGACAGTCCGGACATAGCTGCAGTGACCTCTGAACTGAGGGCTTAAGCTAAAAACCGAGTAACCCTAGCCAAGTGAAAGCGTTCTCGGGCGATTCTGTCTGACACCCTCGGTAAACTGTTTCTCTCGGATGACTGACGAAACTTGACATAATCACTCCTACCGGGAATGTCACCTTTCATCATTACTGGCAATAAAAGGCTGGGATAGGTATCCGCTTCGTGGGACCAAGACTAGTCTGACAGGGCTCTTCATAGTCACTGTATCATCAAAAGTCTCCGGTAAACAAAAACAGTAGTCTGTCATTGCAAAGGCTACCCACAATGCAATAGTGACAAAAAAACGGACAACACGGACGTCAATTAACCAGGCGAGTCCCAACCCATAGAATCTGGGTAAAGTGATGCTAGCTACTTGACGAAA